ATAATTATATATGACTATATATAGAGCAATATACAGCCAAGCAAGATTATATATAATTAGATATGATTATATTTGGCCATTTTTCATATATAATCATATATAACCAATTTATATATAAATATATATAATTATATATAAATATTTTTTCTCGGGAAGTGGTTTCTGAAAATAAATTTACAATGAAAATTCGATCGTTAGGACTATTTAAGCGATTTAATTCTCACCTGTTGTTTTTAATTCTCTTTCTACTGAAGGTCCATTATCATTTCTCATCGCAATCCAATATTCTGCATCTCCGTAACTATCTGAAAAAAATAAAAAAATATTACTTTCTCTCAATTTCTGAGATGATCTAGATCCGAATTTACTTCGACAATACTACGCACAACCGATTAACTAATACATTGATTCAAACTCACCTGTTTCATATTTGATCGCAGCCATAAAAAATCTCCACTCGTTATTGCATCTCTCCTTGTTCTTGACGCGATCTTTGGTGACAAAAGGATCTTCCCCTTTAGGGTACGCAACAATAGACTTCTGATCCGTCGCTTTACGTACTATCAGCCAAGTGTACGGCACGCATACGTAATCATCAATACCTTCAAAAGGCAATTCTAGGAATTGAACAACATAGAATGCTCGCTTATTATTGTCCCTTCTACGAATCATCTGAAACACGTAAAAACCCGTCCTTAAATACCAACTTATTCGATATTATCAACATAGCACCAGTCACGTGCCAGTTTATGGCAAGTTATCACCCTGTCGGGCCTCATCCGTTCACAAGCCGGCCGCGTCGAGTTTTCCTGTTATTATTCTATGGTCTCATTTGCATATTACTTGATAAGAATTAGTTCTAAAACTTACCGCTTTAATGCTTGTATGTCTTTTATATATAAATTCCAAATGTTTCCATCAGTATCTTTTTTCCTTGTTAATAAATAAGCCAATTTCTTCTACTTTTTATTTACGTATAGTCTTCAAAGAGATAAGTTGTATCAACTTGAAGGAAGAAGTTTGAATGAGGTGTGCGCAAGTGCGCATGCCGTTTTTGATAAAATACCATGACCCCGAAACTAGAGAGTGGGGGAAGGCCACGAAGCGTGACGCGTAAACAACTTTCAAAGATACTGTAATGATTACAATTGGTTATCGTGCCACCTTGTACTTATCCCCGAAACGTGAGCGCTTAGTCACAGTATAAGTACAAACAACTCATGGTACCGTCTTTGAGCCTTACTATTCGTATAATAGTAATATTTGCTCTATTGTTTTTAGGACCGAGCTAAACCTATGCTGCTATATTGATGCGCTAAAAACTAAGTGGTAGAACAAACCCTGCTCAGATTAGTCGGATAAAAAGTTTCTATTTATCGTAATGTAAGTATAAGGATCATAATAATTCCTATCGACAATGGTCTGTGTATTAGAAACAATTGATGCAACAGAGGAAAAGATTTCCGCTCGAAGAAACTTTGCTAAACTATCACTGACAATAACGTTGATTCTGATGTTAGGTAAAAGCAACTTTAAACATTTTGCCTTGAAGTCAGGTTCTGTAAATTATCGACGAAGATAGTTCAGAACAAAAACGAATTGAGTGCATAAGTAGAGTTATTCAATGACACATTGCTTTGGCATTCTACTTTACATCATTATACTTCGATTAAGGAAGCTTAGAGCTTTTCTAGAACAACATGACCGGTTGTTAGAATGCTAATATGAATTAAATTCATCTGTGAGCCCTTATATAGTAGGCTACCTCAATAAGACCAGTTTGCCTTATTACTATTCATGAGATAGCTAATAATAAATGTTGGCAATATGATTTCGTATTCCATGAACGATGATTCGGGATTTTTCGCTATGAGCATCAGTGACTTGCTATTTTGAACCTTATAATTTAATGTAGGGCGAGGGAATATAAAAATTTATTAGGTTCTAGAAGTTCTTATGGTACTAAAGTTTCCGGTAGCAAAAAAGGGTGACGTTAAAGGGTTCAAGGTTACATCGGGAATAACACAGCATGTTGTGTATGAAGTTTGAGAATTTACGATAAAATTTTGCGATAATTAATCTATGCGTAGACGAAAAGAAATGAACAAGCATGTTAATGTTAAAACTAACTTAAAAATGGTTGACTCTTACATAACAGTTCAAGTTCCGCTGGAAATTTGATCAGATAAAAGTAAAATTGAGCCTAACAAATCTTGGGGACAAACTCACGCGATAAAATAGTTTTTCTGAGTTGAAATCAATTGAGCATTTGGAACGCATTACTGCTGATGTATGAAAAGAAGCTCTGAATTGTAAAATCATTTAAATTTCAAAGATCATAAATCATAAGGTTCAGATTTTTATCAGTGCTGGTGTACAAATCTTAGTGTGTGGCTTAAAAATGAAAACAACGCTGCTGTAGCTCTAAACACAGTTTATTAATACCTAATCATAATTAAAAATAAATTTATTACATGAAAACGCTTACACTGAATAAAATAATTACACATGAAGAATTTTATACATATTTATTTGGAACGAAAAACACGTAAAGAAACAAAAAGAACAATATGTTTTACATTTTTGGTAGCTTTTCCAAATACCTGATGTCTGTCTCCAATCTTTCATCGGACCAATATACATTTGGGCAGTCCATTACTCTGAGATGTGTGTCATAGCAGATTTGCAATTCCGCCAAATAGTTTTCGCCAGTGTACTGCAAAAAAAAAATAAATAAGTAAATAAATATAAACGGAGCAAATCCAGGCATTGGATTTGCTCCGTTCTGAAACATTGTTGGCCATAGACCGTGAATGATTCATGACTGGTGAATTCTATCGGTACGAATCTTGTAGCGTGTGAGCCATAGCTTGTACGCCATACCTGGATTCCAAGCTACAGCAAACTTAAAATAGTCAAAGCAGTGCTCGGCAGGCGCAATAGTCTTTGGTGTCGTTTCAGTCTTGTCCACACACTTACTTGGGTGCGCAGCTGACTCCATAATTGCAGTACTTCCAGGAGTTTTTAGACCAACGGGTTCAACCTTAGTGCTACTTATTGAAGATATCGATGATCTACTACCTGAATGATATCCTAAACTTGAGCTGGAAGCTGAAGACGATCTGTCTAATCTTCCTATCTCAGCTCCGAAATCAGTACGCTTTGGTTTGAGTCCAGGGTAATTATCATTTATAAGAAAATGAGGATAACCCATTTGAGAGGTACCAGGCGAAGAGTGATCTGGAGTTTGTGGTTCATGTGAGGCTGATGCTCCTGAATCATGAGGTCTGACCGAGAGTGCAGTTCCTGGAGTATGCGGTCCTAACGAGTATTCAGTTCCTGGGGTCTGGAATCTGGACCAGGGTGCAGTTACCGAATTATGAGGTCTGGCTGGGGGTCCACTTCCTAAATGATTAGGTCCAACCTGGGGTCCACTTCCTGAATTATAAGGTCTGACCTGGGATCCAGTTCCTGAATTATGAGGTCCAAGCTGGAGTCCAGATCCTGGGGCTTGAAATCTGACCTGGTGTCCAGTTCCTGAATTATCAGCTCCGATCTGGGGTCCAGTTCCTGAATTATGAGGTCCGACCTGGGGTACAGTTCCTGAATTATGATGTCCGACTTGGGCTCCAGTTTCTGAATTATGAGGTCTGACCTCGGGTCCAGTTCCTGGGGCTTGAAATCTGAGGTGGGGTCCAGTTCCTGAATTATGAGGTCTGACTTGGGGTCCAGTTCCTGGGGCTTGAAATCTGACCTGGGGTCCAGTTCCTGGGGCATGAAATCTGACCTAGTTTCCAGTTCCTGAATAATGAGGTCCAACCTGGGGTCCAATTCCTGAATTATAAGGTCTGACCTGGGGACCAGTTTCTGAAAATGGAAACTTGGACCAATCCAGAGGACCAGAAGCTTGAGGTCTATTCAAAGGTAATGTAGCAGGAGGTTGAGAGTTGAACCAGCGTAGAGCCCCAACTGATGCGGGTTGAACTGGAGCTCTATTTGGGTGCGATGGACCCGAAACTTGATTCCCTCTAACATTGGTTTGAGTAGAACTCGCTCTACCAGAATTAGTTCGCCCTGAACTAGTTCCTCTAGTACCAGGACCTGACCTGCAAATGAACGAAAAAACAATGTGTCATAAAAAAAACTCTTACCATCGAGGTTTTATCAAAAACTAAGAACATTTAATGCTTCAAAATTACTTACCCCGGGAATGGAGACATTGGATTTTTTGGTTTGGAATTTCTTCCAGCTTCACTGATCATCAGTAATGCCTGAAATATCAAATATACTAATAACCGCTTATTACACTTCATTTTTGATTGAAAAACACAATAAGCAAATTATATCCCGGGGAAAACGGTTTAGATCTGACCAGATATAATTATATCTGGTCAGATCTATTTATATCTGATCAGACATGGGATTGGAGACATAATCAGATCTAGTTATATCTGATCAGATCTAAACAGATATAACTATATCTGAATTGAAAAATTCATCAGGCATGATCAGATCTAGTCATATCTGATCAGATCTAAACAGATATAACTATATCTGAGTTGAAAAATACATCAGACATAAACAGATATAGTCATATCTGATCAGATCTAAACAGATATAACTATATCTGAGTGGAAAAATACATCAGACATAATCAGATCTAGTCATATCTGATCAGATCTAAACAGATATAACTATATCTGAGTTGATAAATACATTAGACATGATCAGATCTAGTCATATCTGATCAGATCTAAACAGATATAACTATATCTGGGTTGAAAAAAAAATCAGACATTTAAAATTTGACCAGATCTGGTCAGATCTGATTATATCTGGCCAGATCTCGTCAGATAGAGACAATTTAAAGATCTGGCCAGATCTAATCCGTTTTTCCCGGGATATGCTTATTGTTTCTCACTCAATGACAACCTCTCCGTACCCTATCCTGTGCGTAATAAAGCTCTTGTGAGATAAAACCGCTTGATATACAGTTTGTTATCAATTTTTTGTTATTTTTCATGTGTTGAACTTGACATTTTCCTACAGGAATCGATCCATGTAGGTCAGAAGTCATCGTTAGGTCACACCAAACGCGATGATGAAATCCTGCATCGGGACATCTATTATCTATCGACTGTTGGAATTCTTCGAATCGGGGAAATCAAATCCGACCGGAAAAATCCAGTAATAACCAGTTGATAATTATAGCTTCTGTTTGGTTAAATATTTCATATACGTCACGTATAGCCGTATATAGTCAACGACGAAATTCGACGACCCACACTTAAGTTCGAGAAGTGATAGAGCTATCATCCACAGTCGCTTAATCATTCTTTACAAGCTGATAATCATGGTTCACACTAAGTTGCCAATCTTCTTATTTTTCCTAATATTTGTGTTTTAGAATTTTCTAGTATGAAAACCATTTACTCCGGTGATATTATAATTTTTGTGTACATTTTGCAACAATCCCAGTAAAAATAAATTCGAATCTAATTGGCCTTGTGTTATTTTACCAAGTGGTCGATTCAGGGTCTGACATATTAGACAGTATCAGCGAGCAATGATTATTAATACAACCTTTTCTTTCACAGTGTTTCCGAACGGTTGTTCAACAGGGCTTGCATACGCAAAGTCTAGGAAGATGGCTGGGATGTCTAGTATTCTCGATGGTATGGGAACGGTCATGGATTTTGTTCACAATATCATACCTGGTTCAAATTCAAATCAACAATACGGAGGCAAACCTCAAGTAATCTACGGATCAGTCACTAACACCAAAGGTAATCATTTTCGTAATACGAATATAAAAGGTTCAATCTCTTATGGATCAAACACCGTTCAGACTGGTAACCGATATGAGTGAAGCATAATGCTAACTTGTAATTCTCATGACGATTTTGAGTCGTTTGCAAAATAATTGATTCAACTTTTGACTAACGTTAAAGTTGTAATTAATAATTGTTATCAATTTACTATTTTTGTCCTCGAATACTGTGAATCAAGGAATGACATCAGAAAATTTTACGATCAATGCTTAAATATGTTTTTAGTTGTACAAATATATAATTCTAACTTATGAAAAATGTAAACACTTTACATTGTGTATTTGCGATATAAATATTTTTAACTAGCTTATGATTGAATGTAAAATTTAGATGTTCGAATATTCTAATTAATTTTTAAGAAATTTTCTATGAATTTACTAGGTCTAAACTCTAATTATTGTACTGTAAAAAGTTTTGTATTTTAACGAACAAATAAATATATTTTTTAAACTCAATTAACAACTTTACTTTACACCTGGGGGTGGAACTCACACAAAACGATAGTTTTCTATACTGCTGATGTGTGAAAAGAGGCTCTGAATTGCAAAATCACTTAAATTTCAAAAGTTAAAAGGTGCAGATTTTGATCAGTGGTGCTAATCAAAACCATCTTAGTGTGTGCCTTAATAATGAAAACAATGCTGCTACAGAATAAAAGTACAGTTTATTAATAACTAATCATAATTAAAAATAAATTTATTACATGATAACACTTACACTAAATGGAATAATTACACATGAATGATTTTACAGATATTTCTTTGGAACGAAAATCACATAAAAGAAAAAAAAAAAAAAGAACGATATGTTCTACGATATGTACTACGCGCGTGGCAGCTGATCCAAATACCTAATGTCTGTCTCCAATTTTTCATTAGACCAATATACATTTGGGCAGTCCATCACTCTGAGATGTGTGTCGTAGCAGATATAAAGTTCCGTTATATAGTTTTCTCCAGTGTACTGAAAAAAAAAAAAAATAGATAAATAAATAAACATACATTGATTGATATTCAAAATCCATGAAAATATGATGACGTCAAAGTATTGTAAACACTTACTGGATTCTGAACAAAGTCAATTTTGACCGTTGCGCCAACTTTTTTTTCGATAATATCAATAATATATCGCAATTTGATGGTAGCACCAGTTTTAAGTCCACCTAGGGAAAACGTCATGCCAATGTTCAGCTGACGATGTAGCTCGAGTGTTCTCTTAAAATAGTTCACATCATCTCCAATGACACTTGAACGAGTGGCACAGCTTCCATGCTTATTGAACTCGTGTTCCCAGAATTTCGTATTCTCGCTCCATTCTTTAGCAAGTATCGTGTACCAAGTGTTATCTAACGCACCCAATATTTTATGATCGACAAATCGGTTCTTATTCAAAAAAATATCAAATCGCCGACATCCAGGCATTGGGTCTGCTTCTCTCTGAAACATTGTTGGCCAGGGACGTGAATGATCCATGATGGGCGGATTTTTTCGGCACGAATCTGGTAGCCTTTGGAATAGTTAGAATTCGTCAAAATCGGGAAACAAACGAATCCAACCGGAAAAATCCAGTAATAACCAGTTGAAATTATAGCTTCTGATTGGTTGAATATTCCATATACGTCACGTCTGGCTGAATTTAATCAACGACAAAATTCGATGACCCGCACTTTAATTCGAATCGAGATAGAGCTATCATCCACAGTCGCTTAACCCTTTAACGCTTCTGGGCGTTCCCCCCACTCTTAGTGGAACGCCTCCTTCTACATTTACTTTACACGCTCCCCACTCCGGTGCCGCGCGGGACACTGAGGGCCAATTCAGCGTTAAAGGGTTAATCATTCTTTACAAGCTGACAACCAAGCGAACAACCAACGCATGTTCGAATGATAACTACCAGTAGGTATTTCCCTGTTGTTATTCGGTACATTTATGCCAAACCAAAGACCAGTGAAATTCAAGGTTAATGACTAATTACTGCGCAGTATCGGATCACGTGATATCAATTATTATGATTGAATTTTTGTGTGAGTCGTGGGGGCGTAAACAAATCACGCGAAATTGCTGTATAATTATCAACACGCATTTAGGATGATGAATCATTAAATTAATTTATTTTACTGTTAGTTCCATAAAACAGTCTGTGGACTGTTATCGCATGCGCATGACGCACGAGTTGCCCCTATAAAAAGCGGCGCTGGCACGGAAGGACCGCAGTATTGAACGAACACTGTAGCCGGCATGTTGTCCATCACTGTAGCAACGTTACTCGTTGTTAGTAATGTTATTCCGAGTAAGTACTTTATATTGTTTGTTTTCCGAAATTTTAGTCCATTTTTGTTTCTAAAAAATCTAATTTATATTTTTTCTTGTTAAAGGGATACAAGCAGAGGAGCAAGAAGAACGAAAAGCGCAACACAATGGAATGCAGAGACCCGTCTATAAAAGCAATAGTGTAATTGAAGCTCTAAAGGTACAGAAAAGAGAAACTCTCAACATTGTGCCAGAATCATACTTAGAGCAGACAAATCTTGCAGATAAATCACAAAGAGGTAATAGGCTGCGACGAGACTTGCCGAAATTTGATAATTTTCAGGAAGGTCTTGACAAAAAATTCAGTTCCTTTGATGCTCCTTCGAACAGGACTGGACAAGTAAATTATTTTGCTTCCCGAGTTAACCAAAAAGACATCACTTTTTCCGAAAGTGACGGAAAAAACATCGTATATGGATCCCAAGACGTGCAAATTGGCAATACTTTTCCTGACAATCCTAATGGAACGAATGTGTATGGACCTATTCTCGTACAAGAGAATAATACTTATCAAGGAAAGAATGAAAATGCTCAATACGGAGCTAGTATTACGCAAATTGGTAACAGATATCCTGAGCATCCTGGGAAAAATGATATCTATACTGGTGTAGTCGTTCAGAATGGTAATACCTACCCAGTAAATCCCGGAAATAAAACCTTGTTTGCAATTAATATTAATCAATTTAACAATACTTATCCGAAATCGATAGAAAATAACACAGACGCATTGAAGCCAATCATCTATCAAAGCGGAAACTTTTATCCCTCTAGCAATGACTCAGAAGCTGGAATGAACACCAGAAATAAGACAGCGAGCCAAGGACGCTCTGTGGAACAGAATACATCCGACAGTCACGGAAATTCATCATCTACCAATTATGATTCTGACTCAAGCTCACATATAGAAAGTACGACACCACATAATGGGGAAAGAGAAGCCTATGCAAACAAGCACACCGAACCTAACGGACAAATAAGTTCGTTCGCTCGATTTTCCGTGGAAGTATATCTTTTCATCGCATTTTTTAAATTTACTATATTCGACTCTTAAAAACTCAGAGTTCTTTAAAAGTTTATTAAATAAGACTACTATACTGTGATACCTGTTGAAAGTTTTCATTTAGGTCCCTTACACATGTCCTTCATATCATATCTGATCGTTCTTTCATTATATTGCTCAAATATTCTCTATTCTAGTATTATACAGTATAAGTTATTCAAAAGTCTATTAAATATAGCAGCTATATTATTATACCCGTTGAAAGTTTTCATTTATCCTCTACACATGTCCTCCGTATCATATGTAATTGCAAACAAACTGTGTGATACCTACTGAGTAATCCTTAAAATTCACATATTTTAGCAACATGACTGAATTTTATTTTCTATTATCAATCGGTTCTGTTATTAAAATTACAGTATCTATCAACTATTCATTTGGATCTATTAGTGAAATCAAAGATGTTACAATAAAGTTTAAGATAACCCCAACGATGGTCGTAGTTCCTGGGAAGACTTTAATTCTTTCTCTTTTCCTTATTATTAACCTATCAGGTAATATTAAACACTCCTTAAAATGAGTGATAAAATTATTTCTTCCTAATCTTGAAGAACCTGACATGTTGTGGAGAGTTGTTCACTATTTTTGTTCATCACTCAGAAAGCTATATATCTGTGATTACTAAGACTGTTTATTCTACGATCTAGATTATGCCAATCAAAAAGATTCCTCATTAAGTTAAGAAACCAATCAGAACAATGATATACAAACGACTTATTTCAATAGCTTTTCGAATAATGAACTAAAGTAGTGAATAAATAGCCAAGATAAACGAAACAAGACGATCAAAAGTCATAAAATTTCTTATAGCTCTATATCACGAAAATCGACTATCACTGATCATTTAAGAATCCGTTATCAATACGTGGTACAAAATTACATCTTTCATAGAGCGCTTTTCACTATTAACACCCGGAGACGATTCAAGACCCCAAGATGCTAAAGCATTCGTCTTGAACTCTTTGTTCCGATAAAAACATGTGTAGTTTTTCAAGCTAAGGTTGCCCTTTTACTCAGCGCAACTTAACAGGAACTTTCGTTGATTTTAATTTTGACGGAAAACAAATTTGTATATGATAAGCGACATTTTATGGGTAAATAACAAAAGCGGCTATTGACCCTAGTTCTAAGAAATTCTCCACGGAAATTGTTTGTCTGTTCGTTATCAATTACAGGAATCCTTTGCAATCTTAATGTTCAGTTTCAAATATACAGTTTAATTAACCATTTGACCTTTGATAAGTCGAGTGATTAGCATAGATTCAATATAATTGATTCCTGTTTTGATAATAACTTGATTGAGTCATTGACCAAAATGTAAGGTTTAATACGAAAAATAAGGAAAATGAGCTAATAAAGATAATAATAGTTTGTATTAGTGTCAAATTAATCAGAAAAAAAAACATACTGAAAATACTACGCAGTTTGTTGTTTTCCTGCCCTGTCATGTGATAGTTTTGTGATGATCATGCAACAAACACATGTTCAATCGTTGGTGACGTATATGTATTTCCCGATAATCGTTTCGCATAAAAGGCACCACTCGAAGACGGGTCTCACATTCAATCGCTGACAGTGAACTAACGCACAAGTATCGAACTTTAGTAATACTTTTTACTAAATACAAATCCTAAACATTGATACTAATAATAATTATTATCTACAAAATGGGCAAGGAATATCGAGTGGCATTTGTACTTTTCCTTGGTCTGGCACTACTAATAGCAGAAGCCAGATCCAGTTTCCTGGGAAAAAGACAGCCGATTTCCGTTAACGATTCAGGGGTCATAGAAGCTGCTGAAATCATCATGAAGAGGATAAACCAAGAACATCATGGTAAAAGAGCATTAATGCTGGTCAAAATTGAAAGAGCAGAGTCCCAAGTTCTATACGGAATCAAGTATTTTCTTGATTTGAAAGTTGGTGAGAGACATTGTTTGGAACAGAATCTCAGTCGAAAGTGCAAGCTAGATAAAAACTGTCCTTACAAATCTTGTATTGCTTTTGTTTATTCGGGATTATGGGGGAGTATAAAGGAATCCCATTATAATTGTAGGGAATATGAAAATTGATAATTCAAATTAAAAGCTATGTATCCTGTTATTTTGATAGCTAATAAATTGTACTAAATAGACTTAAGTAAAACTATTATTGTAACACTGCAAAAATTTTTGTATTTTGACGAACAAATAAATATATTTTTAAAATAATATGACTTTAATTAATTTTATTTCTCAGTAGAATTATAAGCAAGATTAATGAAACTTACAAAATCCTATCCGCTCAGAGATAACTTGGACCATCAATAGTCTTCAAGTCAAAAAGTTCGTAACTAAAAAATCTAAGTGCCTGGGACATAGTAAGCTACAATTTTGATTTAACTAATGTCTTTAACAGCGATAGCCTTTTTCTTTTGACTTGTAGAGTGTCTTATACGGCAAATACCTAGAAAATAGTACTCAACAGTCAATAAAGAAGTAACGTCACTCAGCCGTCACATTTTCGTTCTGGTGTGTTCACTGAGCTAACACATGTTCGAATGACGACTACCAGTAGGTATTTGCCTATTGTTATTCGGTACATTTGAACTAAACCAAAGGCCAATGAAATTCAAAGTCAAAGACTAATTACTGCGCAGTATCGGATCACGTGATGTCAATTATTATGATTAAATTTTTGTGTGAGTCATGAGGGCGTAAACAAATCACGCGACATTGCTGTATAATTATCAACACGCATTTTAAATGATGAATCATTAAACTAATTTATTTTACTGTAAATTCCATGAAACAGTCTGCGGACTGTTATCGCATGCGCATGACGTACGAGTTGCCCCTATAAAAAGCGGTGCTGGCACGGAAGGACCGCAGTATTGAACGGACACTGTAGCCGGCATGTTGTCCATCACTGTAGCAACGTTACTCGTTACTAGTAATGCTATTCCGAGTAAGTACTTTATATTGTTTGTTTTCCGAAATTTTAGTCCTTTTTTGTTTCTAAAAAATCTAATTTATATTTTTTCTTGTTAAAGGGATACAAGCAGAGGAGCAAGAAGAACAAAAAGCGCAACTCAATGGAATGCGGACACCTGTGTATAAAAGCGATCATGTAATTGAAGCCCTAATGAGACAGAAAAGAGACACTATTAACATTGTTCCAGAATCATACGTAGAGCAGACAAATCTTGCAGATAAATCACAAAGAGGTAATAGGCTGCGACGAGACTTGCCGAAATTTGATAATTTTCAGGAAGGTCTTGACAAAAAATTCAGTTCCTTTGATGCTCCTTCGAACAGGACTGGACAAGTAAATTATTTTGCTTCCCGAGTTAACCAAAAAGACATCACTTTTTCCGAAAGTGACGGAAAAAACATCGTATATGGATCCCAAGACGTGCAAATTGGCAATACTTTTCCTGACAATCCTAATGGAACGAATGTGTATGGACCTATTCTCGTACAAGAGAATAATACTTATCAAGGAAAGAATGAAAATGCTCAATACGGAGCTAGTATTACGCAAATTGGTAACAGATATCCTGAGCATCCTGGGAAAAATGATATCTATACTGGTGTAGTCGTTCAGAATGGTAATACCTACCCAGTAAATCCCGGAAATAAAACCTTGTTTGCAATTAATATTAATCAATTTAACAATACTTATCCGAAATCGATAGAAAATAACACAGACGCATTGAAGCCAATCATCTATCAAAGCGGAAACTTTTATCCCTCTAGCAATGACTCAGAAGCTGGAATGAACACCAGAAATAAGACAGCGAGCCAAGGACGCTCTGTGGAACAGAATACATCCGACAGTCACGGAAATTCATCATCTACCAATTATGATTCTGACTCAAGCTCACATATAGAAAGTACGACACCACATAATGGGGAAAGAGAAGCCTATGCAAACAAGCACACCGAACCTAACGGACAAATAAGTTCGTTCGCTCGATTTTCCGTGGAAGTATATCTTTTCATCGCATTTTTTAAATTTACTATATTCGACTCTTAAAAACTCAGAGTTCTTTAAAAGTTTATTAAATAAGACTACTATACTGTGATACCTGTTGAAAGTTTTCATTTAGGTCCCTTACACATGTCCTTCATATCATATCTGATCGTTCTTTCATTATATTGCTCAAATATTCTCTATTCTAGTATTATACAGTATAAGTTATTCAAAAGTCTATTAAATATAGCAGCTATATTATTATACCCGTTGAAAGTTTTCATTTATCCTCTACACATGTCCTCCGTATCATATGTAATTGCAAACAAACTGTGTGATACCTACTGAGTAATCCTTAAAATTCACATATTTTAGCAACATGACTGAATTTTATTTTCTATTATCAATCGGTTCTGTTATTAAAATTACAGTATCTATCAACTATTCATTTGGATCTATTAGTGAAATCAAAGATGTTACAATAAAGTTTAAGATAACCCCAACGATGGTCGTAGTTCCTGGGAAGACTTTAATTCTTTCTCTTTTCCTTATTATTAACCTATCAGGTAATATTAAACACTCCTTAAAATGAGTGATAAAATTATTTCTTCCTAATCTTGAAGAACCTGACATGTTGTGGAGAGTTGTTCACTATTTTTGTTCATCACTCAGAAAGCTATATATCTGTGATTACTAAGACTGTTTATTCTACGATCTAGATTATGCCAATCAAAAAGATTCCTCATTAAGTTAAGAAACCAATCAGAACAATGATATACAAACGACTTATTTCAATAGCTTTTCGAATAATGAACTAAAGTAGTGAATAAATAGCCAAGATAAACGAAACAAGACGATCAAAAGTCATAAAATTTCTTATAGCTCTATATCACGAAAATCGACTATCACTGATCATTTAAGAATCCGTTATCAATACGTGGTACAAAATTACATCTTTCATAGAGCGCTTTTCACTATTAACACCCGGAGACGATTCAAGACCCCAAGATGCTAAAGCATTCGTCTTGAACTCTTTGTTCCGATAAAAACATGTGTAGTTTTTCAAGCTAAGGTTGCCCTTTTACTCAGCGCAACTTAACAGGAACTTTCGTTGATTTTAATTTTGACGGAAAACAAATTTGTATATGATAAGCGACATTTTATGGGTAAATAACAAAAGCGGCTATTGACCCTAGTTCTAAGAAATTCTCCACGGAAATTGTTTGTCTGTTCGTTATCAATTACAGGAATCCTTTGCAATCTTAATGTTCAGTTTCAAATATACAGTTTAATTAACCATTTGACCTTTGATAAGTCGAGTGATTAGCATAGATTCAATATAATTGATTCCTGTTTTGATAATAACTTGATTGAGTCATTGACCAAAATGTAAGGTTTAATACGAAAAATAAGGAAAATGAGCTAATAAAGATAATAATAGTTTGTATTAGTGTCAAATTAATCAGAAAAAAAAACATACTGAAAATACTACGCAGTTTGTTGTTTTCCTGCCCTGTCATGTGATAGTTTTGTGATGATCATGCAACAAACACATGTTCAATCGTTGGTGACGTATATGTATTTCCCGATAATCGTTTCGCATAAAAGGCACCACTCGAAGACGGGTCTCACATTCAATCGCTGACAGTGAACTAACGCACAAGTATCGAACTTTAGTAATACTTTTTACTAAATACAAATCCTAAACATTGATACTAATAATAATTATTATCTACAAAATGGGCAAGGAATATCGAGTGGCATTTGTACTTTTCCTTGGTCTGGCACTACTAATAGCAGAAGCCAGATCCAGTTTCCTGGGAAAAAGACAGCCGATTTCCGTTAACGATTCAGGGGTCATAGAAGCTGCTGAAATCATCATGAAGAGGATAAACCAAGAACATCATGGTAAAAGAGCATTAATGCTGGTCAAAATTGAAAGAGCAGAGTCCCAAGTTCTATACGGAATCAAGTATTTTCTTGATTTGAAAGTTGGTGAGAGACATTGTTTGGAACAGAATCTCAGTCGAAAGTGCAAGCTAGATAAAAACTGTCCTTACAAATCTTGTATTGCTTTTGTTTATTCGGGATTATGGGGGAGTATAAAGGAATCCCATTATAATTGTAGGGAATATGAAAATTGATAATTCAAATTAAAAGCTATGTATCCTGTTATTTTGATAGCTAATAAATTGTACTAAATAGACTTAAGTAAAACTATTATTGTAACACTGCAAAAATTTTTGTATTTTGACGAACAAATAAATATATTTTTAAAATAATATGACTTTAATTAATTTTATTTCTCAGTAGAATTATAAGCAAGATTAATGAAACTTACAAAATCCTATCCGCTCAGAGATAACTTGGACCATCAATAGTCTTCAAGTCAAAAAGTTCGTAACTAAAAAATCTAAGTGCCTGGGACATAGTAAGCTACAATTTTGATTTAACTAATGTCTTTAACAGCGATAGCCTTTTTCTTTTGACTTGTAGAGTGTCTTATACGGCAAATACCTAGAAAATAGTACTCAACAGTCAATAAAGAAGTAACGTCACTCAGCCGTCACATTTTCGTTCTGGTGTGTTCACTGAGCTAACACATGTTCGAATGACGACTACCAGTAGGTATTTGCCTATTGTTATTCGGTACATTTGAACTAAACCAAAGGCCAATGAAATTCAAAGTCAAAGACTAATTACTGCGCAGTATCGGATCACGTGATGTCAATTATTATGATTAAATTTTTGTGTGAGTCATGAGGGCGTAAACAAATCACGCGACATTGCTGTATAATTATCAACACGCATTTTAAATGATGAATCATTAAACTAATTTATTTTACTGTAAATTCCATGAAACAGTCTGCGGACTGTTATCGCATGCGCATGACGTACGAGTTGCCCCTATAAAAAGCGGTGCTGGCACGGAAGGACCGCAGTATTGAACGGACACTGTAGCCGGCATGTTGTCCATCACTGTAGCAACGTTACTCGTTACTAGTAATGCTATTCCGAGTAAGTACTTTATATTGTTTGTTTTCCGAAATTTTAGTCCTTTTTTGTTTCTAAAAAATCTAATTTATATTTTTTCTTGTTAAAGGGATACAAGCAGAGGAGCAAGAAGAACGAAAAGCGCAACACAATGGAATGCAGAGACCCGTCTATAAAAGCAATAGTGTAATTGAAGCTCTAAAGGTACAGAAAAGAGAAACTCTCAACATTGTGCCAGAATCATACTTAGAGCAGACAAATCTTGCAGATAAATCACAAAGAGGTAATAGGCTGCGACGAGACTTGCCGAAATTTGATAATTTTCAGGAAGGTCTTGACAAAAAATTCAGTTCCTTTGATGCTCCTTCGAACAGGACTGGACAAGTAAATTATTTTGCTTCCCGAGTTAACCAAAAAGACATCACTTTTTCCGAAAGTGACGGAAAAAACATCGTATATGGATCCCAAGACGTGCAAATTGGCAATACTTTTCCTGACAATCCTAATGGAACGAATGTGTATGGACCTATTCTCGTACAAGAGAATAATACTTATCAAGGAAAGAATGAAAATGCTCAATACGGAGCTAGTATTACGCAAATTGGTAACAGATATCCTGAGCATCCTGGGAAAAATGATATCTATACTGGTGTAGTCGTTCAGAATGGTAATACCTACCCAGTAAATCCCGGAAATAAAACCTTGTTTGCAATTAATATTAATCAATTTAACAATACTTATCCGAAATCGATAGAAAATAACACAAACGCATTGAAGCCAATCATCTATCAAAGCGGAAACTTTTATCCCTCTAGCAATGACTCAGAAGCTGGAATGAACACCAGAAATAAGACAGCGAGCCAAGGACGCTCTGTGGAACAGAATACATCCGACAGTCACGGAAATTCATCATCTACCAATTATGATTTAAGCTCACATATAGAAAATAAGACACTATATAATAAGGATAGAGAAGCATATACAAGCAAGCACACCGTACCTAACAAACAAATGAGTTTGTTTGCTCGATTTTCCGCGAAAGTCCGTGATTTCATCGCATCGGTCAAATCTATTCGACTCTTAAAAACTCAGAGTTCTTCAAAAGTTTATTAAATAAGACTACTATACTGTGATACCTGTTGAAAGTTTTCATTTATCCCTTACACATGTCCTCCATATCATATTAAATCGCAAACAAAGTGTGTGATACGTACTGAGAGTCTTCCTTGAAATTTATATATTCCGGCAAGATAACACAGATCGTTATTTAATCTTCGACAGGGAATCCATGATAGTCCTTAATAAATCAGTAATCACTTTATGTAGTCGTTCTTTGTTACGTTCCCAAAAATAGGGTATATTAATTAAAATTATTTAAGTCCAGATTTTGACCTCATTAGGATGTCAATAGACTCCAGGTGGGTCGTGTCAATGATTTATCCACGAAGTACTTTTAAACGATATAAATTTATAAATTTTGAAATATAACTTTAAAATAACCTGCTTTAGGTAGGTGATTTGGAATGCCAAAACGCTGACTAGCGCTTCGGCGATTTCACCAGGGTGGAAAACAGCTAATAAAAGCGCTTACACCCTGGGGGATAAGGTTTTAATAACTATTCATATTAATTGATTAACAACTAATAAGATTTATTCAAAAAGGATAAGGCAGGTTCAGCCTCGGACCAGCAGAGATTGCTCCTCTGCTAAGTCCGAGGACTGACTGCTCCAGAAGAAGTCTGAAGACAGAATGTATCGTTAAATAATAATTACAAAGAGTTTATATAATAAGATTTTAGCGATGTTGCATCTCAGGTTACCCTATGAGAACATCAACGCAGTCCAAAACCCACAACGTAGACTGTTTAGTCTACTGGGCTGCGTTGACGTTCTAGAAATTTGTTATCTCCAGGTATTTCCGTTACGAGATACCTCGAGTAACGATTAATTAATTAAAATAATGATTTATAAATTTTTAAAATAAATTTATAAAATTTTTAATAAATTTAAAATTTACGAGAACGTAACATCTTATTCTTCTTATTCGAGACACCTGTACTTTAAATACCGACACAGCAGTACTGAAATGTCAGAAACGAAGCTACGTCACTCAGTCAACGCGTGTTGCTCCCAGTGAGTTCACTGAATTAATGTATCTTCAACTGACGACCACGTTAAGGTATTTGCCTGTTGTTTTTTGAATTGAAGATCTTTTTCCTTTTCTCTCACGGTTGCTATCTCCTGGATTGATATTTCCGAATTAGTTTTGAGATAGTTGCACATGAAACTAAGTTCTTCATATAGCTTGACTAGCTTCATTCTGTGCGAAGCAACTGCGCTTACCCATTTGATCTCTTTAGTTTGTCGAACGAAATCATTCCTGGCACTCTTTTGTTTCAGTGGATCGATTTCGTTTAAGGTAAGAAACGGATTCGTTAAATGCACAGTACGATCAAATGACTGCTGGAAGGTGGTGAATCCTCTTATTAACTTCCCAATGCGTTTTGCCGTTGAATTGTCTAAATTCAAAACCAAGTGAACTATGCTAGCGTCCTGTGGCATAGAAAGTCCGAAAACAGATCCAGGCAATGGTTCATTGATCGCAGGTAGCAGTAGAGAGCCGTCTCGAGATAGGTTCTGCGTTGGTTCAGCATCCTGGTAGTCATCTTCTAAGTTCTGTTTCTGTCCTTGGTTTTGCTCCGTTCTAATAGCATATGCTTCGTTTCCTTGAAAGAAGACTGCGATGATTGTGATGAGCACTACTAGCGAAGCCATCTTGAGCATCGTTATCTGTTCGCTTTTCAAATCGTTATGATGCTGTGAAGACTCACTGTGGAATATATACCATTTGATTTTCATATTTGAGGCTTGAGGAATCCAATAATTCATAGTTATCATCATTAGAAGATCTAAGCTATTTCTTAATTGTTAATTTTAAATGCCAACAGATCGATTCTGCATACCATTGTTCCCAAATACTTGAGACATATCGATCTCAAGGAATTCGATAAATCACGTTAATTACAATCGATTGATTTAATCGGTTTTATTTATTGCTCTATGCATTGAGATTCCCAATATTTCCATTGAAAATCAATTAAAGTGACTCCGCAATAATATATCAGCTAGTTTTACATACCACTGTTTTCAAATACTTGAAAGCTTATCGATCATAAGGAATTCGATAAATCATTTTAATTACAATTAAAATTTTAGAGTGGGCTTTAGAGTGGAATTAATGTAAATTAACGTTTCTGGTAACTCATTACGAAAACAACTATAAATTGTAAGAATGCATGACCCTCTGGCTTTTGTTTATCATTTCCAAGTATTGAAGTTAGTAAACAACGAAATCTGAATTGACATACACCATGTGATCGACAGTCGACTCTGTCTAAAGGTTTTCTCTATAAATGTTCCCGTGGTCTATAAGTTTCAGGATACATTCGTTAAAGGTTCCCGAATATTTCCCCACCAGCTTTCTCGAGCAACGAATCACAATTCGGTTTTTTGATGTTCTGTTTGAGGTTATGCTTACTGCCCAATGTTTTCGTTTTAGCGTACTTACCGTACGTCAACTCGCAGTTCAGCTACCATACGATGTAGATGGCACTGCTTTCATACTTTCATTCAGGATCGAAGAGTATTTCATTTCGTTTGGTCTGCAAACTCTTTCCATCAAGTTGGCTACAAATTTCGGCAGTAGATTGAATAAAAATTTGACTTAAGGTGGCTATCGGGGATGATCTCACTGTTTAACCGCTAGAAAAGAGATCTAGTCAAATACTTATAAGAGAAATTACGCCTTCGGGCTTAATCGTTAAAACTCGGGAATAATCGTATCACGCTATGACCGTCGCGCATGTGCGCCTTGGTTAGCGGTAGAGAAGCCGGCTCGCGTGGTCTGCTGCAACAGTTGTGCTTGGACTCTTGTACTAGTATGACTACTCTGTGCTAATCAATTCTGACAATTCTTACTTGCATCTCACATTCATTCAAATATTTAAATTATTCATTAAATATAAATAATTATAGTAGATTCAATTATACTTTAAATTCTCAATTCATTTAAATCAGTTTAATAGTTCAGTGAATTAACATAAATAAGTAAAATCAAGTAAATTTATTTAGTGACGCCACGCGGCCATTACGCGCCACCGTTAACAAAGGATTGCATCGGCCACGCGGCTTTAGTCAATCCATAATTGACGCGTGATATTAACAATTAATTACATTAAATCAATTATTAACATTTAATTACGATCTTATTTAATTTAACTTATAAATAATTAAATTCCAATTTCAAATCATTTGACTAATTTCTACATGAAAAACATCAAACTCAATTGATTAACATTCTGTTATCAATTGAACATTATTAGCTCTCACCTTGAGACAATTGAACATTAATAGTTCTCACTCTGAGACAGTTCAAATTAATTAGATATTACCAGCTCCCACCTTGGGACTTATCTAATTCAAATTATCGATAATTTTCTATCTAAGGCGGCTGAGCTCACCCCTATTGCGTTATTGCAACGTAATTTTACACATTCACACTTACACACACACAATTTACTTGTATGATTTCATCAAGGAGGTTTTTTCCCAGCCTAGCTGGGTTTTCCTCCTTTGGGGACAAATAAATTTTTCTAAATTGTTCCCCAAAAATTCCAAGTATTATTATTTAATTTCCTAATCCCAACTTTATCATATAATTTAAAACAATTACGGGAATTATCCGCATTGGATAGTTTTCGACAACACTCACACTCCCACTCAGGTCGTCTTACAAATAGTTTGAGCAGTTATCGACGTAACATGTCGATTTTTGTACGCTTATATCAAAATTCCTCATTGTGAAATCAATTTTACTCATACAATTGAAACAAATATTTTACTTCACTATTTATTTATTTATTCCCATTGTTAAATATACACGATACATTTAGATACTTACAAATTCTACTATACAATAGTATTTCAATTTTTAGGCCTAATGATTAACAAAGATCGATCTGATTCATTCGGAAGCGAAACTCAAACAGAAAACTCAAGACTTGGTTTTATATGTTCTTCAAAATTAACTTATACAATGTCATTGCTCGAAATAGTTTATGCCGAGATTCAATGTCCGCGGAATAATTTAATGAATAATGTAGCTCATAAGTTAATTGGATAAGCAGACTGTCGCCTAACAATGTATTTTTTTATTTGTCGCAATAAATATTATAAGCATATTTAGAATGTTTTTAATCAATTTTGTTCTAGAACACTAGTGAAATCCCTGCCATAAATTATATTTTGTGATATGCTACTCTGTTAGCTCAAAAATGACTTGGAGCACTTTTAATCTTCAAGTCAAAAAGTTCGTTTCTGAAGTGACTCATTTTCTAAAAGTCAGTAGGCTAAAGTCTATATATTTTCATAACGTCATTTACAGCGAAAATCGTTATTTGACTTATTCGGGACACATGTACTGCTGAGGAATAGAGGACTACGCAGTCACATGTTGGGTTTTACGTATTGATAATACCTCGGGATGTCCGATTGACGTTTTCGAGTAGGTCTTTTTCTGTTGTTTGTTTCAGGGTCAGCGGTCAAAAAAATAGGGGCGTATTGTTTTGATACTGATTAGTTGGAAACAGAGAAAATACGTGTAATGAATCACACCGATCATGTGTCAAATGAAACAAGATATGATAAGAAATTCAAATCAAAGTCACAAAAAAACTGGAAAAGCTGCATTCGTGTCCAGACAACAAGCTAACAATGATGTCCAACAAAACACTAATCTTTCTGTTCGTTTTCATCCTGAGTATCTCATGTAAGTACAAATTGAAATTGCTATTCATAAGTTCTTTTTAAAAAATATCTGCTATAACAAAGCTGAAGTTTATAACTTATAACATAAATTCGACAGATTACCTTCCTTGTTTGAATTCGGGCCTGCCACTAAAATCAGATTCTCACATTGTCTATCTTTTTCAGGGATTCAAGCGATGCCGAGTGAACCTGAAACAGTTGAAGACGGCAGAGTCTCATCTTTATTTTTATACATCAAAAATTACTTCACACAACAATCTACCCCATTGCCAATGACTGCCAAAGATAGGACTTTGGATAACTCTACATCAAGATTGATAACGTCGGCGCAAGAAGACCGTTCTTCCGTAGCAGCATCTCCTGCACCATTAAGTATCGATGATCAGTTAAGAATTATGAAACTTTTTTCGCCGTTTTTTCGACTGAAAATGACCCAGGAAGAACAAGCCGTAGCTGTTCTATCTCCGGTCGTGATTATGCTCCTCATTGCTTTAATACTAGCGGCAGTTTTCTTTATTGTAGTCGCGTTATATCAGCGTAAATCTTCAGAAAAACGGCATGATGTGGAACAACTTCCAATAAAAATGAGTGAATTAGTTAAATAACACGAGACGTTAATCAGAACTGATTAGACTGCTATACACTGAGGTTACCCTTCCGAAGTGGTATGAAAACATCTTTGAAGTTTTAAATAGTATAAGATGGTTCATGTCAAGTGTTTGAAATTTCCTTATATTATATGATATATTTGTTAATAAAATTGTATATTTAAAAAACGATATTGTTTTTAACTAATTTTATCCTAAGATACCCGAAAGCTTCTTACCCAAGATATTGCTCAAAGATTACTTAAACTATTAGTAGTTTGTATCTTAGAAAGTTTGTCACTAAAGAAGCTATTTACCCGAAGCTCAGTCGGCTACCGTCTGAATTTTAGTAAGTTTATCTTCAGCGCTAATCGTCCTTATTTCACATATTCACACTATATGTACTGTAAGTGCTTACAGAGTTCAAGTAAGAATCAATAGAGAGGATATCCATCACTCAGCGGGAGATTGACAGTAACTGTTACTAGTTTCAAGTTTGGTATTCCTGGCACAGTGACTAATTTCTTGCTCCTAATGATCCTATTTGGATTCCCAAAAAAAAATGTTTGATCTTCGCAGACATGTCTCATCATTTTAATAAATACTAATCAACCTTTTCATGCTTTGTACTTGAGATGTACAAAGATTATCATAAATTTGTCATGAATCTACGTAAATGTAAAAAATAGCGCGTAGATTTGCGTGGATAAAAAAAAAATTTTTTTTTCGGGTGGAAAGGTTTAAAAAATTAAAAAGAAAGTTTTTTTATAAAAATTTCAGTTTATATTACAGTTTTTCGCAGAAGAAAGTAACCTTGAAGTGACATTTCACATCTTCCATTTGTCCTTGTTTTAGCCAACTACCATATTTTTGCTCACTATGGCTATCCGGTTGTTGTCTTTCTGCCTATTGATGCCAAGGCACGTATTTTAAAGAGCTGCAATCCATTTCTTCCTTATAGCCTTCTTCATTTATTCGGTACGCGATGATACGTTGAGCAGTCCTTTGATCTGTCGAATGTAGATTAAATCTTGTACGTATTAGATACTCCAGCATATCCTGGGAAGAAACAATAAATTTAGTACAATTTGTATTTATAGATCACCGTGAGATAAGATGTATTTGTTTTTGATAACCTTAGTACATCAGTTTAGTTTACTAACAGCAAGCTTAGCAAAATTTTACGTTTAAATCTTAGTTCGACTTATCCACTTCTGAAACTGAATATAATACAATTAAAATAATGAATACTCACAATCTCTGCAACCTTGAATTTATAAACAGCAAGACTTCCACCTTCTTTTTCGCATATATTCTTAGCTTCATCGAAGGATGCTGGAGTTGAATGAAATGTGTATGATTTCTCATGTCCGATTGAGAGTCGATTACTCCTCCCAATAAAGTATGCCTGGATTATACGTGTTCTGATTTATGAGTAGGTACTATGAAATTCCAAGAATTAAGATGTGGGGAATTTCAGTTTACCCAAAAAAATAACAATAAAAACTCTAAGTGTTTAATACTAGAATAGAGAATATTTGAACAATATAATCAAAGAATATAAAAGTGAGTAAAATACATTAGATGACAAACTCATTTGTCTGTTAGATTCGGTGTGCTTCTCTGCATATGCTTCACTCTTCTTATTATATAGCGTCGTCCTTTCTATAGTTGAGCTTGAATCAGAATCGTGATTAGTAAATGGTGAATTTCTCTCTGTGTTATTTTTTGTCTTCATTCCAGCTTCTAAGTCATTGCTGGAGGGATAAAAGTTTCCGCTTTGATGGATGACTGGCTTCAATGCGTCTGTGTTATTTTCTATCGATTTTGGATAAGTATTGTTAGATTGATTAACAATAATTGCAAACGAGGTTTTATTTCCGGGATTTACTGGGTAGGTATTACCATTCTGAACGACTACACCAGTATAGATATCATTTTTCCCAGGATGCTCAGGATATTTGTTACCAATTTGCGTAATACTAGCTCCGTATTGAGCATTTTTATTCTTCCCGCGATAATCATTATTCTCCTGTACCACAATAGGTCCATACACATTCGTCCCATTAGGATTGTCAGAAAAAGTATTGCCAATTTGCACGTCTTGAGATCCATACACGACGTTTTTTCCATCACTTTCGGGATAAATGTTGTTTCTCTGATAAGTTCGGGAACCATAAGAAATTACAGGTTCAGTCTTGTTCGAGGTAGCATTAAAGGAACTCCACATTTTGCTTAAGTCGGGCATAAAATCACTCAAGTTCAAGTCTCGTCGCAGCCTACGACCGTTTTGTGATTTATCCACATGATTTGTCTGCTCTAAGTATGATTCTGGCACAATGTTGAGAGTTTCTCTTTTCTGTACCTTTAGAGCTTCAATTACACTATTGCTTTTATAGACGGGTCTCTGCATTCCATTGTGTTGCGCTTTTCGTTCTTCTTGCCCCTCTGCTTGTATCCTTTTAACAAGAAAAAATATAAATTAGATTTTTTAGAAACAAAAAAGGACTAAAATTTCGGAAAACAAACAATATAAAGTACTTACTCGGAATAACATTACTAACAACGAGTAACGTTGCTACAGTGATGGACAACATGCCAGCTACAGTATGCTTTCGATACTACGGTCCCTCTGTGCCAGTGCCGCTTTTTATAGAGGAAACTCGCACGTCATGCGCATGCGAAAATACTCCACAGACTGTTTCATAGAAGTAACGGTACAATAAACTAGTTTAATGATTTATTATCCTAACTTCGTGTTGATAATTATAGAGCAATTCCGCCTAATTTGTTTACGCCCTCATGACTCACACAAAAATTGAATCATAATAATTCACATCACGTAATCCAACAAAGAGCAGCAAGGATGATTTGTCCTTGAATTCCATTAAGCATTGGTCTTTTGTTTGGTACAGATGTATTAAATAACAATAGGCAAATACCTACTGGTAGTAATTCGAACATGCGTTAGCTCAGTGAACACATCAGAACGAAAATGTGACGGCTGAGTGACCCCGGGAAAAACGGATTAGTTAAGTCGGAATATAGCAAAATTTTTCAAAAGTTTCGTCATGAGGACCATTGCAATAGTTAGATTTCTATGAAATCTACTAAAAAATGCATAGAATTTAGTTTGAATAGTAAAAGGTCGCTCGAAAAAATCTAAACTAATGCACTAATAAATTGAAAAAAATTATGAGCGACCCTTCAAAATTCGAATTTTGAACTGAAATTTTCAGAAACTTATTTTTTTTTTAGTCTATAAAATTATACCGTAACGAGAAAAAAAATTAAAAAAAAAAATTCGATTTTTGACGATTTTTGAAATTTTGAAAAATTTGGAGTGACCTCTTAAAAATTTTTTTTTGAGCTGTCCTTTGGTGAGGGCTCTTAAAACATCAAAAACTAACATTTTTTCACTCGAGACTCAAAAAAAAAAAAATAGTCGGTTTTTTTGCGCCACCCTAATAGATATAGATATACAAACGATTAGTGGATTTTTAGTTTATTGCTAATTATAAATAAACTACATTGAATTAGACCATGATCTTTGAAAGGACTTTATTTTAAATCATACTGAAGCGTATAAAAAAAATGGACTTGATCAGTTAAGTTTTTCGGCAGTTATCGTGACCACGCCGGTTTTCATACATACATTTAAAAGCCAAACGTCCACGGAATAACTTTTTTAAATATTTTTTTCATTTATTTAAAAATCAAAATGTCATAAGTGTTGAAAATAGAATTTTTCCATGACATTTATGTGTAAACACAGTTCTACAAGTGTGATAGAAAATAAATAGAGAAAATTTTAGTCCAAGAAATCGCCTGATTTTTGTAAGGCGAGTGTAGAGCACAACCTCATCCGCTTCGCTTATGAGGCGTGCAAAAGACTATATGGAGATACGGTATGAACAATGTACTAAACATAATTCGACGGGACAATATCTTTAAGAGATTAAACTTAGGTGATAAAATCTCTTAAGTATCAATAATAAAACGAGAAGGTAGCAATTACTAAAAAAGGTTAAGACAATAGTATGTATGATGATGATAAAGTAACAGATTATGGACGAGGTCTGAAGGACTTTATTGATTATAAAAGCAGTATTAGCAAAAGTATTGTTTTAACATTTTATAATTTGAATATTAGATTATATAAAACGAATCATCGTTCTAAGAACCCATACAATATTAAAATATCTAATAATAAAACTCACAAAAATCTGTTATCTTAAGATCTAGTCCAATTTTTTTGTGTTGTTAAAGTACTGAGTACTCTATCTTAGAAATTTGTAGTTTTTTCTTCAAATTATAATGTTCTTTCAATAATAATAATAAAAATAATAAAAACAAAAATTATAAAATTATAAAATTTATTTACATAAAAACTTGAAATACATAATCTTTGACACGAAGCTTATTTTTATATATAAAAAATTACAGGAACACAGTACATATGATAGTCTTGGCGGGTAAAACCTTGTTATGATTCACCATTAACCACTGGGACTTTGGCCGAGACATAATTCTCGACTTAATGTGGTCATGCATGCGACCAAATCAGCAGATTCTTGGTTTTCAGATGGTCCAGAATTATTCTGATCAGAGCTGAGGTCATCCGATAACTGAGAGGGTGGAATATAAAAATTGATTGGTTTGGAGTTTTGTTCATTAGTGTTGGTGTTTGAATCAAAAATTTCTCCATTATTGTTTTCATCCGATATGAGATTTTGCTCATAAGAATTTCCGTTCTGATCAGGAGACACGTTAGAGTTGTCGTTGCCGTCAGCGGGTAGTTGAGAATTGTCACCATATGGCCCAGTGGATTGTTCAGGAGTTTCATCATTCGAGTTATCAGGTTGCGGAGAATTCTCATCGTACGGCCCAGTGAATCGTTCAGAAGTACCATCATTTGAGCTATCAAGTTGTGAAGAATTGTCGACATATGACTTAGCGTATTGTTCAGAAGTTTCATTGTTTGAGCCATCAGGTTGTGGAGAATTCTCATCCTATGGTCCAGCGGATTGTTCGGAAGTTTTATCGTTTGAGCCATAGTATTGTGGAGAATAGTCACTATATGACTCAGCATATTCTTCAGGATTTTCACCGTTCGAGCCATCAGGTTGTGGGGAATTCTCACCGTATGGCCCAGTGGATTGTTCAGAAGTTCCATAGTTCGAGCCATCAGGTTGTAAATAAGTGTTATCATATGTTTCATTCGGTAAATAAGTGTCATCGTATGATCCCCCAGATTGTTGATCACTGCCATTGAATGGTCCCATAGATTGTGAAGAACTGTCATTATATGCTCCGGGAGGTTGTTGATAAGTTTCGTCGTATGTTTCTCTGACAGTGCCATCGTTTGATTCAGCAAACTGTGGGTAAGTTCCATCGTTCGAACCAGTATTTTGTGAGGAATTGTCACCATATGAGTTACCAGATTGAGGATAACTGCTACCGTATGGTCCCATAGATTGTGGATCAGTGTCATCGTATGTTCCAGGAGGTTGTGAGTAAGTTCCACTGGATGCTTTCAAAGATTGCGGATAAGTGTCATCGTATACTCCAGGAGGTTGTGAGTAAGTTCCGTTGGATGGTCTCATAGATTCCGGGTAAGTGCTATCATATGCTCCAGGAGGTTGTGAGTAAGTTCCGTCGGATCGTCTCATAGATTCGAGGTAAGTGCCATCGTATGCTCCAGGAGGTTGTGAGTAAGTTCCGTCGGATGGTTCCATAGATTCCGGGTAAGTGCCATCGTATGCTCCAGGAGGTTGTGAGTAAGTTCCGTCGGATCGTCTCATTGATTCCGGATAAGTGCCATCGTATGCTCCAGGAGGTTGTGAGTATGTTCCTGGAGATTGTTCGGGATAGTTATAGTTATAGCCATTCATAGAATTCGGGAACATTGACTGGAAAGTATTTATTCCGTGACTTATTTGATCAATGGCAGACATTCCACTGCCAAAGTGATTTCTACTGTCAAATTGACCAGAACCAGGATAAGCATTGGTCACTCCACTATGTGGAGACAGTACTCCATTTTGGACACCTGGGTTCGGCAACAATTCATTATGGTTTTCTGAATTCGGATTTGGCTTTTGCGGGTTATTCGGAACACCAGGCCCCGGCAACCTATTGTTCTGATTCATTGAGTTCGGTTTTGGCATCGGCCACTTCGGTATACCAGGCTTGGGGAACCTCTCGTTCGGACCCATTGGGTTCGGTTTTAGCATTGGCCACTTACGCATACCAGGCTTGGGGAACCTCCTGTTCGGACCCATTGGGTTCGGTTTTAGCATTGGCCACTTACGCATACCAGGCTTGGGGAACCTCCTGTTCGGACCCATTGGGTTCGGGTTTGGCATTGGCCATTTATGTTGCCTAGGAAAGTATGATTGCGGTCTGTTTGGCCCTCTTGGCCGTAAGTGAGGCCTTGAATATCCTCTTCCAAAACTTGATGTTGGTCGACTATAACTCCTCCGTGAGCTCGTCAGTTTTGCAGAAGCGACTCCACTGTGGCTATCCAAGAGACCTAGAAATAAAAAAAAAAAAAACAAATTTTAGAAGCACTCATAGTTTTTAGCTAACATATTTTCACAAAATCACATGAACTATGATACTATTTCAAACTCATCATAAAATCACCACAGATATTGCACTAACTAGTCTATATCATTATATAGGATGACCTTGTAGGAACTTTAAAATATTAAATTTAAGAATTTATGAAATTAAGTTAAAATATATAGACTAATACTCACATGAAGTCGTGATGATAGCGATTGAAACGAAAAGTAGAGTGTTATTGATGAGCATGTTGACTATCAGACGTCCTGGTCTGGACTGTGGATCGCTACTGTTTGTGGAAGCTTTTATATGATCCATATGACTCATTATCCTGTTTCGTAACTTCAACGCAAGGTAATATACAGATAAACTTGTTTTGAGTTGTTGTTTGTTTTACTTACAAGGTAACCCTAGGGTCATGGGGTAATTTGCTGTTTATGATCGCGAATTCATTTTGGCGCAAAGAGTTTCATATCTGCGTTGGTTTCATAATTGTTGTTAGTTAGTGTATAGTCTTAAGGCCCACTTGGATAACACCTTCATTAGAATATATCTGTTTTTCATTTGGATTTGTCAAGTTATCAATGCCTCTAAATTCATTTACCTGATTTTTCTTCTTTCCATGATCCTTAGCCAACAGCCATTTTTCATGATTTATGGGTACAATCAATGGTTTAATAGTTTAACACCTTGTTACCTCTATCCTGATTATTTGTTCGTTATTTAAGTTCATTTTTCAAAAAGCTATTAAATTTTTAGTGTTATCTCATTGCTTTGATTGTCATCTCTTTACGAGTAACTTCTTGATTGCACAATGGGGGTCTGATAAAAAACAATGTTAGGAACCAAAGATTCTAATAGCTTTCTAAATAATGAACAAAAAGTGTGATTAACTACCTAGAACCCGTCGCTTTTTTAAGCTTCACACGAGACAAATTGCATACACTTAAAACAAGTCAGAAAAATATTATCAATCTGAACACGACCATTGTCATACAAGAACTTATCGGCGTGGAATTTTCATCGGAAATTGCAGAATAATTAAAACATCCTGTTACAGACGTGACAGGTCCTGGACGGTTGGATTTGTTTTTTTCCCGATTCCACGAATTCCAACAGTTGATAAATAATGAATTCTTCAAAGTAAGATTTTATTATCATGTTTGGTCCCGTTTTTGAGGGTATGTAAAGCGCTTCAGTATCACTGGAGCTTCATTACGCTCAGGATACCGTACGAAGAGGTTGTCTTTGTGTGACGAGTAATAAGTTCATATAGTTTGTTTTTTTTTCTGTTTTAAACTATAAACGAAGTGCAATAAGCGGGTACTAATTACAAATATTACTAATAATCAGTGAAGTGAAAGAAATTCCAGACCAAAACGACCGAAGTCTCCATTTCCAAAGAAAGTAGTTTGATATTTATCGAGTCGTTATTCACTATAGTGACAGCTAATAATCACATTTTCGATATTAAATTATAGATTGTGGCTTTTGCATTTTCTACATTAAGTTTTATAAAAAATCACCGGAATCCGAGTGAATGATACAGTTTACTTTTTTTTCTTGTAAAAGACATTTCATTAACAGATTGCCTTTTTACTTATTTGCAGGTTAAGACCTGGTCCTAGAGGAACCAGCCCTGGGAGAGCCAATTCTGGTAGACTAAGTCCCAGTCTAAGCAATGTCGGAAGAAAAGCAGCTTGAGGTGCACTGATACCAAACACGGCTCCAGTCCAGCCTAGACGGCCGGAGGCTCCAGCCTGGCCCAACTCTGAACTTTACGATAGCTCAGCGTTACTTAGACATGATGTTCCGAGTACTCCAGCTTGGTCCAAGTCTCGAACTCCAGAAATTTCATCCCGACTTTGAACTCAATGAGGAACTACAGCTGCGTCCCCAGCCCTAACTCGAGGAACTTCGTTCCGAGCTTCGACGTCAGAAACTTGAGCATCAGTCTACCTCCAACTTCAGAAACTTCGATCCCAGCTTCAACTCGCGAAACTTGAGCTTCATTCCTTGCTCCAACTCCGAAAATTTCGTCGCAGGCTCGAACTCCAAAAACTTCGTTCCGACAACCAACTTCAGAAACTTCGTTCCCAAGTCGAACTTCAGAAATTACGTTCCAAGCTCCGGTTTCTGCAACTTCGTTCCAAGTTCCAACGCCAAATACGTATTTTTAACCTTCAACTCCGGAAACTTCGTTCTGAACTCGAACTCCAGAAACTTCAATCTAAACTCCGACTTCTGAAACTTCGTTCCAACCTCGAACTCCAACAGCTTTGTTCCGAACTCAAACCGAAGAAACTTATGATTAGTTATTAATAAACTGTGATTTTATCCCTATAGCGTTGTTCTTATTTTTAAGGCACACACTAAAATAGTTTCGAATACTACCTTACTCTGAAGTTATCAACCCTTAGTCAGTTTTTTCAGAAAAAGTAGGTTTAAAACTAGTTTTGATTCAAACATTAAAGATGGGCTTATCAGACCTGATAAATGCATATCAAGTAATATCGGAACTTAGTCAAAATTAGACATGAATATATGACTTTACATGACCAGATATCAGGCCAAGTTAGAAAATTTTTACACCAGTCGCTTGTTTACAAACCAACTATGGGCTTGAGACTTTCAATTTTATCACACAACTTATGAGCTCTGATCAGAGACAGTCTTACAGCAGGGCTGCTAAAAGCCTTGTAAAATATCGTGATATACGGTTCTAAAATGAAAGAATTATTATCACAGAATTTATGGTAATTTTATTATTCTAAAACAATTAATATTTGAACAGTACTATTAAAAAGTAAAATAATAAACATGATTGTTTACTAGATGAGTTGGGTTTTGCCGTGTGCGCTTGACTTTCTGTACTATTCTGTGCCTTTTTTTCTGTTGGTGCGTTGATTTTAGGCTGCGAATCACCAGATTGATAACCACGTGGTCCACCAAAGTTTCTGCCACCCTTGCTAGTTCTATAATGATTATTAATCTGTACAGATGAGGATCCATATCGGATTCCACCTCCATTCGGTTGTGCTTGATTTCCGTCAAATTTGAAGTTTTGATTTACGTGGTTTGTGTACGCTCCAAACATGTTTGGGCCAACCGGATCGACGTTAAAAGTCATGCCGTTCTGATAAGTTTGGGATCCCAGTATAATATCCCTTCCATCACCGGGTATCCGATCTGGAAACAGTTGTTCTTGGTGCACCAGACCCATCGGTATCTTTCTTCTATGTCCATTCGCTCTGCGTTCTACTGTTTCCTCCGCTTGAATCCCTTGAACACAAAATTTATAAATTATATTTCATAGTCGAGGAAAAACAAAGAATTAAAAGAAAAAATAAAATAATAAATACTCACTTGAAATACTGTTATTAGTGAGGAGCAACGTTACAATAGCAATGTACAACATGCCTGCTGCTGTGTTCTTTTCGGACTGCGGTGACTTCGTGCCTGAGCTCCCTTAAACAACGTCGGCTCGCACGCTACGTGCATACGTCAATGCTTTAGCGGCCATTTTGTTGCGTAAGCTATTGCATTAACTGGCTGTATGAATCATTAGCTTAATTAGGTATTATTAATTTAATAGTTAGAATGCTATGTCGTAAAAACTATTGTTAGTTATCACTTACATCTTTTCTGAGAATAACGATGTTTACATTGTAAAAATTAATAAGTAAATAGTTATTTTTAAAATATAACATTATAAAGTTAATATATTGAGACTAGTTCTGGATTACGATGTTACTATTGTAATTTTCTTTCTGCTTACGGAGTAGTGAGTTAGATATCATTTCTTGCAATTACATTAGATTCAGATAATAATTTTTCAGATCTTGTTTTTCTGATTTATCATGATCTAGAAAGCCTTATTGATGCCAAGTGAACTGAAGAATTCTAATGAGGAAAAATCAAGAAAACAACAATACACTAAATTTGTAGAACAGTCTATTTATTTCATGATTTTATAAAATTACTTCTATTACTACTTATTGTTTCTTGGCCATGAAGACATATGACTCTGCTAGTCTCTACATAGTTTAAAGTATTGTTACAAATACTATACTCAGTACATACATAAAAAATTTCTCAAAGATTATCGATAATATTAGGAACTCTAGATTTTACATCCAATTATTAGCTAATTAAAAATATCAATCCCGCAAATACAAAGTATTTACATTTTTTATATGTTACAATTATCTATATGTACAACAAAAAACAGTAACTATAAAATTGATCGATGTTATTCTCTGACTTATAGGATTCGAGTACAAAAATAAAAAATTAATTAAAATTATTATTCATAACTTTAACGTTAATAAAAAGTTGAAGTCGATTATAGTGCAAACAGTGATAATAATCCTAAGGTGAAGATGTGTCGAAAGTGACTGAACCTCTTATGTTCTCATTAACAATAGTATTGTCTTCGCTGTTAGTGATTGATGCGTAGGATACAATAGGACCCCTGTTGTTTCTGGGTGGTTGACTTGCTAGACGCTTAGAATGATCTATGATGTCGTGGAGCGGTAGTTGATTCCAGGTATATAGTGAATTTTGAGGCTTCGCGGATGCAAGCCCTATTGAACTATCATTCGGAAATACTGTGAAAGATGAGGGTATCTCAATAATTATTGCTCACTGATACTGTCTAATGCGTCAGATCCTGAATCAACCACTTGACAATTCTGCCAACATATGACCAATTAGATTTGAATTTGTTTTAACTGAGATTGTTGCAAAATGTACGCAAAAATAATAATTTTACTGGAGTAAATGGCTTTTGTACTAGAAAATTCTCCAGCACAAATATTTGATAGTATTGGAACTTACCTGACGTGCCGATGATGAAGAAAAGTAAGAAGATTGACGTCTTGGTGTAAACCATGGTTATCAGTTTGTTGAGGACGATTAAGCGACTATGGATGATAGCTCTGTCACTGCTCGGATTCAAGTGTAGCTCATCGAATGTCGTTGTTCATTAAATACAGATAGACGTGACGTATGTGGAATATTCAACCAATCAGAAGCTATAGATCTGAACTATAGATCTGAATATAGATCCAACAGTCGATAACTAATGGATTTCCCAATGACGTAGGTATATATCAACGTCAAAACATGAACAATAACCGGAAACTGATAATAAAATGTATATAAAGCGATTTTGTGTCACAGGAGCTTTATTACTCTTAGAATAGGGTATGCAGAAGTCGTCTTTGAGTGACAAATTATAAGCTTATTTAATTTGCTTATTGTATTTTTCAATTGAAAATGAAGTGTAATAAGCGGTTATTAGTATGTTTGATATTTCAAACGTTACTAATAATTAGTGAAGCTGGAAGGAATTCCAAACCAAAAAATCCAAAGTCTCCAATCCCGGGGTAAGTAATTTTACAACATCAAATGTGCCCTGTATTTGATAAAACCTTAGTGGCAAAAGAGTTTTGTATAACACATTGCTTTTTCATTCATTTGCAGGTTAGGCCTTGGTTCTAGAGGAACTAGTCCAGGGCGATCTAATTCTGGAAGAATAAGTCCTACTCAAACCAATTTCGGAGGATATTCAGGTTGGGGTGCATCGCACCCGAATAGAGCTCCAGTCCAACCCGCACCAGTTAGAGTTCGACCCGGGGTCAACCCTCATTTTCCTGCTACATTACCTTCGAATAGTCCTCCAGCTTCTAGTGCTACAGTTTGGTTCAAGTTTCGACCCCCAGGAACTTCCTCTAGACCTAATACTCGACTCAGACCTGAAAATCCTCTTAATCCAGGTTCATTCAGACCTCTAAATCCTCTTAATCCAGGTTCATTCAACCCTCAAAGTCCTGTTAATTCAGGTTCATTCAGACCTCAAAGTCCTGTTCATTCAGGTTCCTTCAGACCTCAAACTCCTGTTATTCCAGGTTCATTAAGACCTCAATCTCCAGGAACTACAATCCAATCTTGGTCTAGTGTCCCTTCAATTGATCATGCTCAATCTTCTACGCACAATCTTTTTCCTGCATTAAGAGCACCAAAGCTTACTTATGTAGAAGCTGAGAAACGAGGATCAGATATTCTTAAATCGTCAAGTTCTACCTCTTTAAGCAGCGGAAGTTCGGGATTTAACTCGGGTAGTGGTAGATCTTCATTTTCTTCAGTGGGTAGTTTTTCTTCTGGATCCAGCGGCAGTCTATACCGACCCCAAACCATTGGTCTGAATGCTATTAAAAGTACAGCAGTTAGGAGGTCAAGAGCGAGTCCAAAATTGTGTGTGGACAACACAGCAACGATGCAAAAGATTATTGCACCAGCCGAGCACTGCTTTGACTACTTCAAATTAGCTGTAGCTTGGTCTCCAAGTTACGCTTACAAGGAACGGAAGAAGGGCCTAGAAGTTCGTGACAAAATCCGTCCGGCATGGTTCATTCACGGTCTATGGCCAGCGATGTTTGAAAGATTTCAGGACCCGATGCCCGGATGTCAGCGACATGATATTTCTTTCAATTATAACCGATTTGTTGATCATAAAATATTGGGTCCGTTAGAAAACACTTGGTACACGGTACTTGCTAAAGGATGGAGTGACAATAAGAAATTTTGGGAACACGAGTTCAAGAAGCATGGAAGCTGTGCCTCTCGTTCGAGTATTATTGGAGACGATGTGAACTATTTCAAAAGAACACTCGAACTATTCAATCAGCTAAACATTGGCACGACGTTATATGAGAATAGACTTCGTCAGGGAGACACCGTCAACTTGAAAAATATTATCTATAGTATCGAAGACAGAATTGGCGCAACAATTCAATATGACCTTGTTATGAATGACGTAAGCATTTAAAATACTCTGACCCTGTCATATGTTCATGTATTTTGTGTAACTATATGTTCATTAATTTTTTTTTTCTTTTCAGAACACCCACGACCTCTACCTGACGGAACTGACTATCTGCTATGATACAAATCTCAGAGTGATGGACTGTCCAAATGTGTATCGAAATGATGATGATTTGAATTTAAAAATCGAGTATTTGGATAGCTTGCCAAAATTGTAAGACATTTCGTACTTTTTGGTTCTTTATGTGTTTTTTGTTCCAAAGAAAAATATGTGTTAGCATTTTCACGTTATATATTTATTTTTAATTATCAACTATGAATTGATTCCTGTAACAGCGTTGTTCTCATTCTTATTTCAACCTTTGCAATTCAAATGATTTTACAATTCAGAGCTTCTTACTAACATACCAACAATGTAGCATTCCAAATGCTCAATTAATTTCAATTCAGAAATCTATTTTTTTGCATGAGTTTGTCCCCGAGATTTGTCAGGCTAAATTTTACTCTTATCTGATTAAATTTCCAGCGGAAGTTGAACTGTTATGTAAGAGTCGACCATTTTTAAGTTAGTTTTAACATTAACATGCTTGTTTATTTCTTTTCATCTGCGCATAGATTAATTGTCGCAAAAGTTTATCGTAAATTCTTAAACTTTAGTATAATAAAAGCTTTTAGAACCTAATAAATTTTTGTGTTTTTTTTCGCTCTACATTAAATTATAAAGTTCAAAATATCAAGTCACTGTTGTTCATAACGAAAAACTCCGAATCGTTGCTCATGGAATACGAAATCATACTTCTAACATTTATTATTAGCTATCTCATCAATACGAATGAGGCAAACCGGTCTTATTGATGTAGCTTACTATATAAGGACTCACAGATGAATTTATTTCACATTAATATTTGAACAACCAGTCAGCGTGTTGTTCAGAAAAGCTCTAATATTCCGATAGAAATACGACACCACAGTCGTAATTGGACTATCGTTCAAAAAGGAAATTCATATGGAACATAAAATTCAAATGACATTAATGTAAGCTAGTGAGTTATATTTTTAAGATTTAAATAAGGAGAAGAATGCCAGAGAAAACTGTCGACAATATTCGATGGAATCACTGTTTACTTATAGATTATTTTTAGAATTAATTGATTAACCTTTATAGTAAGTGTTTTAGTTCTTAAGTGTCTTACTAACAAACTAAAAACGAAATTGTAGACTGTTTTTAGTACCACTAGAATAATTGTGATTCATGACAATATGTTAAATATTTATCGATGAAATAAAGTAGATATAGAATTATAATTTTAACTACTTTCATTTTGAAACTTCCTATTCCTATACTATTTAAGATTCCATGAAAAAATTTTCTGATATGGCCATATATGATGGTCATATCAGAATTTAATATGTCCCTAGATTTCCTGATGTGACTTGGTGAGCCCTTATCAGGCATGAGAAGGTCGTTTATACCTAAAAAAATTAATTCTATTTTGAAGTGAGAACATTTAAAATCAATCGAATCCGAACAAAAACAGTTTCACTGTAAAAAAAATCGCGCCAAGTCCACGTTCATAAGACTATTAAGAAAAAAAAATTAG